TTTCCCCTTTTGGACTTTACATTCAGCTTTGGAGCCTTTGGGGGTAAAAGAGTTTGATCTCAGTTGCACACCCATATTTGCCACCACTTTTAGTTGGGTGTGTCTTCACACATATACATTCATAATGAGATATCTTGGCCATGGGGCCCAAGTCTAATTACAAAATTCATTTGTTTCATATACATCCTATGCACACAGCCTGAGGGCAATTTTTTAAATAATTTTGTGCATCAAGCAAAGTTTGTGCACATTAAACTATCAGAAAGCAACATGCCATTATCTCAGACACCCATGAAAACAGTTTTGTTTTTTGGAGTATTTCAGATTTCGGAAGTCCAGATAAGGGAGACTCAACCTGTAAATGATTTTGGTTGTATGGATAGTTTAACTGTCCCTTAATAAATGGGCCTTTGCATCTGAATTTCTTTTAATGTTTATATGCCATTTTGAATCCCAGTTTTCCAAGGATATAAATGAACCATCATCATCATCATCATCATCACAACTGGTTTCACAAGCTAGCAGGCATTACTGATTTGAATTCTGGATCATCTATTATCTGGATTCTGTCCAAGAATCTAGTTATCAGTGAGAGATCATTGTCTCATGTGCCACATTCCAAGCAGTGTCAGTTTTTGTAACTCTGCTATCATGATCCTATCTATGACAATTTCATTCAGTTGTTTTGGCAGTCCATTTGGAATTGTTCCCAAAGCACCTCTCACTACTGGGACTGTTGCTGTTTTCTTTTCCCAGAGGCACTGAATCTCAATTGGTAGGTCTCGATGTTTCATAATCTTTTCCCTCTCTTTGCCTGCAATTGCTATCCCCTGGGATCTATGAGCCAAGCTGCTGCTGCTGCTGCTGTGTATTATTTTTTGTTGCTACTTGTTACTAGGCAGACTTAGCAAGCAATTACCTCCCAGCCATATACAGAGTGCAATTTTGATAAAAATGTAATGACTACAAATACTATAAGCAAAATAGAATCATAGAGATGGAAGAGACCTTAAGGGCCACCACGTCCAACCTCCCGCCATGCAGGAATACATAATCAAACCACCCAAATACACAAAGTATTATTTTGAAATAATGCTTCAAAATTCTTGAAGACCACTGATTTTAGCTCAGTTGATGCAGATCACTCTGTCATAGAGCCCTTGCAGACTGCCAGAAATAGTGCAAATTGAGTCCACTTTAACTGTCCTGGCTCAGTGCTAGGGAATCATGGGAACTGTAGTTTATTGTGGCACCAGAGCTCTCTGACAGAGAAGGCTCAATGTCTCAGAGCTGCAGCATCACACTATTGACATGTTCAATTTGTGGTCTATTAGGACTCCTAGATCCCTTTCACACGTAGTCTCCTTA